CGGTCCATTTCTGTCCACTGACCCAATGAATCCGTCTTCAGCGCACGTGCTTTTCGGTACAACTCGTCCTTGAGTGTCATGTAATTAAACCAGTACCATTCCACGTCAAACGACTCCCCTTGCTTAATAAAGAACTGAGGACGTGCCATTATGTCCTCACACATGGTGTGCGCAAGATCTGCGTCCACGTCGTCCGTCAACTCCGGTGGCTTGTACTCTTCCTTCGCAGCGCTTGCCGCCTGCAACGCAGACCATCGATATGTCGTGAGAACATCTGTTTTTGTAAAGCGGTAAAGATTGAGACGTGCCAGGGCGTCCTCCGCGTTGGCAACCGTGGCGAATGAAAGAAATGCACCCGTCACGAGGCCTGTGGTCTCGTCAAGGACTAAATGGATTGTAAAGTTTTCATGTCCAAGAACCTCACTCACCTTCTTTGTCATGTGTCGCAGGAAGAGCACCCGCTTTTCGGGCGTCACATTGTTTGGGAGGCCATTGACAATAATATGCCTCGACATCTGGAGATCATCTGCCATGGATGCACGTCACTCTCTTCCCTTCGGCTCCTGAATTGTTAAATCCTTCACTTCGACGTGTGCTGATGTCTATGCCCGCACCTTTATCGACCTCCACCCTGCCCGCTCTTTTTAAGCAAACTCCTCTCCTCACCGCACACTCGACTACGTCCGCCCTTCTTTTACCGCTATTTTTTGTTATTGTTGCTTTTTAAATAAGAAACCACCAAGACGTTATTTTATTCCTTTTTTTTTTCTTTTTTGGCTGTTCGTTTCTTGCGGAACCGCGTGTCGCCTGCTGCTTCTTTTGCAATACAAAAAAAAAAAAAAAAAGAAAAAAAAAAAAGTAATGTAGAAAGCCGGCCCAGTGCAAAAAAAAAAAAAAAAAAAAGACAACAGGGGCAAGACATGTGCAGCCATGCCAAGAGAACCAACAATAAAAATAGAAAGTCCGCATATCATTATTCCTACAACACGTTGCAGGGAAATCCCCCCACCCTAACCCTAACCCATCATCACTTCCTACGCCACCACACATGCTATATACAGATGGATGGATTTTGTAGACATCGTCATGGCCGGCATCCATCGCCATGAAAGTATCGTGCTGTGAGTCCTCCTCATCCTCCTCACACACACCTGCAACATTTCTCTTCTTTCCTTCTTTCTTTCTTTCTTTCTTTTTTTTTTTTTTTAACCCATACAAAAAGATATAGATAAGGAGATTCTACCTCTCTCCCTCCCCTCTCTGTTGTCCCACAGCAACAGCACCACCACCGCGCTGCTATTACCATCGGTGCTACTACTTCACAACGACAAAACCAACATCCACAGGGACAGGTGAGGAGGGGGAGAAGGGCACATTTACTCGGCCGCCTCCTCTTCCTCCATCTTCTCTACCTTCTCCTTCAGTCGGTTCCAAATGTCAACTTGGTTGTGGCCAGCGTTCCAGTACTGGAAGGCGGGATCAAAGAGACAAAGCCCGTACTTGTTGAATAAGACTGGCACCGCCATCACAATTGGGACACGGATGTAACCGCGCGCATATGTCCAGTGAAATAAAGAAGTCCAGAAATTAGCTGCCATTGGCTGTCAACTTCAAACCCGCGTTCGTGTGTTGCTTTAGAGCTTTCTGTGGCGTGTTCTACTCCTCCCAACGCACACGTTGCACCCCAAAAAAAGAAAAAAAGAAGGGAATGCCAAGAGAAAAGAAAAACACATAAATAAATAAATAAATATTTAAATCACAGAGAAGCGTGTGGGTGTATATCACCGACGACAGTAAGACACACATGCCGGAGTTACGGTTTAAAGAGAGTCCCCTCCCCCCTTCCTCCCCTCTACGCACACACACACACACATGTATATACATATATACAAGTAGAAAAACAAACAACTCATAAAAAAAAAGTAAATACAAACGGAGGCCCAATGTTCGTCTTTTTTTTTTTTTTTGCCGCCATTCGGACACGGATGCACTACAAATGGTTTCACCCCATTCTCCGCTACCACCCAAACTCCCTATACAAAAGACTTGTACCCCCAACCCCCAACCCCCAACCCCACCAGCCCTCGTTCGATCCCATCACTCACTGCAGTTGCAATCTAAACCCCCTTTCATTCCCTTCCGCTCGTCGGCCCATCTCTAAACGTACGCCGCCCACATCTCGGGTTTTGTGTGGTAACCGTCCTTCCGCTTTATATCAGGGTATTTGGCCTTCATAATATCCTGATAGCTTTGCGCCCACAGCATGTCAAACGTAATGGGGAAGTCCACCTTTGTGGGCTCCTCAATGATTGGTGCCCATGGCTCAATCTTCTTGCTTCGCGCACCGTGAATTGTGCCCATGTCATCCACAAGCCCCCAGTCTGAGACAGACTCACGCAAGGCTCGTGTCCAGTACTGTTTCAGTGCAAATAAACCGCCGTCAAGTTCTTCAGTGACGGGTATCTGACAGCTGAAGCGTGTGTTGTAGGTAATGTCAGGACGGTCCATAGACCGCCAGTTTGTAAGCGACGTGTATTCCCATCGATTAGGGGGTAAAAGTTTGTCAAGAGTCTCAATGTCAACATTCACCATGCAGCCATCACCATGGTTCCAGTCGGCACAGTCCGGGTTATTGCACTTTCCCCAATAGTGTGCATAGCCGTGGCACATGCCGGAGCCATCAATCAGCGTATTGAGCGTGACGTCAGGCATTGGGTACATGCGAAAGTGATACGGGTGACCGTCAAAGCCAACAACTGTGATATTAATCAACTTTGTCTTGTACTTGCTCTCGTGCACCTTCCCGTCAACCGCGTACGTTTGACTTAAACGACGTGCCACCGACTTTTCCGGGAGTTTCCCCATGCGACGCTTTTCGCGGTAGTTCAGTTTGTCGCACATAATTTCAGCCCGTTTCAACGGCTGCTGGAGACAATTACGGTGTGATATATACCAGCGACCGGCTTGCTGAGTTTCCGCCAACTCCTCAATCTCATTGTACACGTGGGGAACAATGCGATACAAGCGCACCGCAGAAAAAGCTACCGCCGCCGAGGCCGTGGTGAATGTGAGCGGCCGGCGAAGCATTGCGATAACAGAATAATCTCGTCCCTAAAGTTATGTGTGTGTGTGTGTGTCCAGTATCTCTCCCAATACTCCTCCTCCCGCTGCCCAGTACAAGACACACACAAACAAAAAAAGAATTAAACACGTTTCCTCAACCATATCGGGGCAGCACAAGCAAAGGAACCACCAAATATCTATATAAAGGAGATGCATAAGGATAGTGCAATGAGCATCCGCGCCATCTCCAAATTCCTCCCTCCTTCCCTCACTTCCTCGTTCTCCGCCCAAACCCCAATAAACACATCGCAGCAAAATGTCAAAAAAAAAATTCAAAAAAAAAAAAGTGCACATGAAAACGGTTCTTGTTGTTTTTTTTATTTATTATTATTGTTTTTGTTCACGTTCAATCCTCGTCCATGATATCCAGCAGATCGTTGCCTCTCTCTGGAGGGCCCGCCCTTGTTTCATCTACGCGCAGTCCATCCATAATCTTAAACAACTCCTTATTTTGCGACTCCACATCGGCTTTTGTCATCCGGACCAAAGGGATCGTCGAAGCTGCCGTCCGGTCTCCCACTCTATCCGTAGCGCCACCAATTTTACTACCCTTCTCGCCGCCGCCCACGCAGTGCTCATCCATTTCCTCCTCCACGTCGTCAAAAAATTTCAGCTTAAACATTTTCTGTGGGGCATTCTGCCCGCATCCTACAAACCGTGATAAATAATTCAACTCCCCCGTCACCACATTTGCAATTTCCGATGGCACAGCCGTAGGAACAGTACTAAGACGACTCATGCTTGGCATGGACGGCAATAACGATGTTGGACCATTTGCTTCCGCCCGCGTTGAGGCTTCTTGACGGCTTGGGGCGTATATATTCGTGCCGTTCTTCGTCATCCGCGTTCCTGCATTCTTCGGGTCCCACTTATCGAGCGGCACCGATGGTGGGTGGCGCAGTACGGCGTCCCGATGCTCAAACGCCGTCGAAGCATCAAGTTTCCCATTTTTAAAGTAACGGATACTGCCCGGTGGCTCACAAATGGAAAGAGGTGGGAGAACTCGATCCACAGGCAAAACAAAAGACCCTCTGTCTGACTGCATTCCCTCTTCAAAAAGCACAGAGATAACAGTGCTACGGCCAACAATAAAATTCAGCAATTCCTTTCGAATCTCCGCCAAGTCGCCATGTGTAAGCCGACTGCACAAGCCTTCCAGCATGACAAAGACAGGGGTGACTTTCGCCTGTGCTTCCGGTGTAATGAGTCGTTTTAGCTCCTCCAGATGTGTCCATGTCATCTCCACAAGTTCCAGCGGGTGACGCAGTGTAAAAAGCTGGTATTTCACCCCCATTGCCATAAGTTCAAATAATTTGTTCATGGACAATGGTGAGAGGCGCATAACGGACATCTCCGTCAACGATTTAAATATCTCCTTAACTGCCGAGTATGAGTAGAGTGGCTGTGGGCGGAACAGCTCCGCCAGAAACTCTGGACTAAACATATGCCTCACCATATCATTCATCACTGTCTCAGCCATTTCCTTTTCGACATTCTGAGCAATGAGACGTGTGTGAAGAATAAAAATCATCTCCGCCCCATAGTTAAGCACCAGAAAGGCCAGTGAACCAATTGCCATTTTCCTTCTGCGCTGCGGCTTGCTTCCCTTCTCCTGTTCTCAAACCCCCCTCTGCACCGTCGCGGGGATCAGTGGAGCAAAAAAACGGACACGTGCTCGTTGAGTAAGCAATTGGGTGCAGTTGTCAAATTATACAACGGCCTCCCACTCTGTGTGTACAGGACCCGACAAGAAGGCAAACAAAAAAAAAAAAAAGGAGGGTGTCAGTTCAACAGAGACACACAAACACAGAAATCACCCGTCTACTTTTACTTCTCCCTCTATAAGCGGGTGTGAAAAGGATGTGCTTCCGCATCGGCCCTCACTCACACCCATGCACACTCTCCCCGTCAATGAAGAAGGCGGTGGTGGTGGTGGAATAAATAGAAAGCGGATGGTGAGTGATGATTACAGATGCACACACATTTAAACGCGTAAAATTGCTCTTTACTTCTCCCACAGTCCGCATACGTCTTCTCAAATTACACACACACATCAAACAAAAAAAAAAAAATCAAAAAAGAAGATCTTTTCATGACCTTCAACTGCGTCGAGTTTTCTTTGTCCGCTTAAATGCACGCTGCAGGCCAGTGGCGCTCGCTGCCTCATTCTTCATCCCTTGCAATGAGGACTTGGCATCACGCAGGAGTGTGGAGTCCACGTTAATTAAGCGTCGCAGCTTTTTCTCCACGGAGAGGCCAACGAGTTTTCCATCCTTGTCATATATCTCACGAGCATCCTCCTCCGTCTCCCCCGCCCCCTCTTCCCGGGTAGTCTCGGTGCCATTCGTTCCTGGTGACTTCAGCTTCTCAAGTCGAGAGAAATGTTCAACAATGCGGGAGACGGCCTTCTGCAAAAATGCCCTCAGTTGCTGTATCGGCACACCCGCAAATGCCGTCTGTTGGGCCACCTGCTCCACCGTCTGGCACTGCAAACCTACCGCAAGCAACAAAGCTGCCTGTGCATGTGACAACACGACACCCTCGGAACCATCCGGTAGTCGGTGCAGCCGATATTCAAAGTAAAGCTTTGCAATGGCAGGAATCAAATCCAATACTTGCCCGCCATCCACAAACATGGTGGCGTTCAGCTTCAGCCGTTTCATGTCATTGCCGCTAAAGATCTTCTCCAGATCTGACCATGTGCACTGCACTTGACCGCCCACACGAACAACATGTGCCGAGGCCTGGGAAAGATCCGTGGCAGCTGCCAGCTTTTGGGGATCATTGACGTCAATATCCTTCAAAATGCTCAGCGCCAACTCCGTTGAAAGGTGGCGAAATGGCATTGCGAGAAGTGGAATAAACCGCCGACGAAACTCCGCCCGCAAAAGTGCAAGATCCAAACCAATAGGACGCACCATCACACAGCTGTGCTCACCCGTAAGTTCATTCGCAGCATGGCGAAGATATAAAGGTTCATAACCCGCGCGCCTCCAAAAGTTAAATAACGCAGTCGTCACACCAAAGCTCACACCAAGATATTCAATAACCTCATATGGACGATCAATCAGTGGGGTAAGAAGAGTAGGAATACGTTTCCGCGGAAGAATAATGGTGCTGCTGGCATCATCCTCCAAGGCACCGGCCCCATCATTAACGCCCTGCGCCAAAGAAGGGGAAGACAACGCCGGAGCGGGGCGAAGAGAAATAGAGCCACTGTAATATTCGTAGAGCAGCATCAGAGCGCGAGAACCATATCCCGCACGCTGCAATTCTGGATTGGTGGCAATACGCACAATTCGAAGTCCAGCAAGTTTGGCAAATCCTTCTTCAAGGTAGCACTGTGACAATGTATACGGAATGAGATCACCCGCGGGGCGTACACCACGGCTAAGATTACTCTTAATCGCTTCAGATGTCACTTGCCCCTCTTCACAAGCATGAATGACGCAAAAAACATCCGGAAGACCACCCTTCGCATCCACACTCACAGGACAAAGAAGAAACAAGTGGTGGCCAGGGGCATCCGACATCAGCTGTAAGTCATTGGGCTGATTTTTGTAATGAGCCGCAACCAACAGTGACACAATCGTCTGAAGTAATTGTTCCGCAAATGGGTGGTATGAGAACAGGGCATCACGATTGACATAGTACAGCTCACACTTGCTGGGATGTGGGCACGTCTTCACACCTGTGGGCCGTACGGTGGTGTCAAGGCACAGTAGTTTGTGCAGCCACAGCTCGACTGGATCATTGGGGCCGTAACGAATGGCATCCGTCAACGCAATCTCACGGAGAAAACGCCTGTCATCCGAATTTCCCGCAGCAGCAGCAACGCCCCCATCGCTTCCACAATGTTTACGCATATCTGCAACAAGTTTCATGGATAAGCTTCTCCCTGTACCCTCGTAGCCAGAGACCGTCGATGAAAGAAAGACCAGGTAAGGACCCAACATTTGCTTCACAACAGGCAACGGAATTGCGGCTGCTTCATCAATGATAGCCAACTCCGCCTGTGCAAATTTTGAGGCATCGTGAGGAGAGATATACTGAACCGTTTGACGGTGCTCACGAAAGAGATTAATGCGCACGATACACTTGCTAAATTCTATATTAGTACTCTGCATGGCCTCAAATTCCGTGCGCTCCGTGTACCCCAACTCCTTCAGTCCTCGTATCACAAACTCAAAAAATGTTTGCAAGTTTTCTGGAGATGGAGCCGTACAAAAGATGTTGCTGTACCCCTGGGCCAGCGCACCAGCTGCGGCGAGGCCGAGTGCTGCGGATTTGCCACGTCCACGACCCGCCGTGACGACACAAGTTGTGTTAAGAGACTTCTCCATAACAGTTTGCATGAGCGAGAGGACCGTTTTGCCCTGGTCAATTGTTTGGCAAATTGCCACAAGTGGCCCCACTTCATTGCTCCCAGAAAGTCGATCTTTTAAAGCAATTAAATCCGCCTCGTGTTTCTGATGGCCTTGTAACACCAACTCCGCCTCGTAGCTGGTGGCGCGTGCATTCTCTACCGACTGCATCTTTGTGGTGATGGGGAGAACGTTTAATTCGTCATCGACGCAAAGCGCCGTCTCACAATCCACAAGAGAAAGAAGAAATCTTTCATTGAACCGCGGCACCACATCGCGCAATGCTTCGGTACGATATCTTGCATGAACATCCATTGCGATGGTGTAGAGCTGCTTTAGCGAACGCATCGCACGGAACATGATGACAATAATTCCACCACCCTTCACTGTTTCAATGGTACGCGCAAGTGTGTTGGGTGTGATCGCCTCAAAGTCCTGCAGCACAGCCATTCCAAACGTCTGACCAAGGATCTTGTGAGTCTCCTTGTATTGGCAGAAACGAATTGATGTTTGAGAAAGAAATGTCTGAAAAGCCTCCTTCGTTGCTTCAGTTGACATGCCACCCTTCACCTCAAGACGCGCACGCTTCTCTTGTTTTTTGCTGCTTGTCGAACCAAAATCCGGTTCCTTTTTCATGCACCACAGCACACTCACCTTGGCACTATGGTTGGCATGAGAGACCATCTGGTGCAGATTGACGATCTGGTCCTTCCCGCGGTCACCAACGAGAAGAAGCAACGCACGATGTTTCTTATGTACTGCATTCTCAATAATGTGGCGGACCCGATCGTCCACCTTCCGCTTAATCGTCACACCCCCAGTGGCGCTGCTGCGGGTTGTCGATGCAACAGAGGCAGGGGAGGGCATACTGAAAATAATAAATCTCCAATGCTCCCAACTCTCAGCTTCCTTCCGTTATTCACGTCTGCCTGTTTATTTCCTGCTCTTCTTGATTACTTCTATGGGATGTCTTCTCCGCCTTTATTGCGTGTCCAGCCACTTCCGCCAATCCCCAACAGCTTTTTTTTATTTGTTTGTTTGTTTGTTTTTTATGTTTGTTCCTTCTTCCTCCTTTATTGTTGCTGCTTCGCCCCACACACACACACCGCGTAGCAGAGATGCAGTTTTTTGTTGTTGTTTTGGCGGCAACAAAGCCAACAAAAGAATAAAAGCAACAAGCGAAATAGAAAAAAAAAAAAAGAAAAAAAAAAGGCCCAGAAATGCGGAACGTACCCAAAAAGAGGGTGAAGGAACTACACGCCCACACGGCAATAAATCTCGCGGCAAGGAATTCGTACAACAACAACAAAAAAAAAAAAAAAAAGAAACAAACAAAAAACAATCGACAAGTAACAAACAATTTTAACATTCCTCGGCATATAAACGTGCCCACACAAAGTCATGCTTTTTCATCTAAAGGCATTGAGAAGTCGATAAAACCGCAAAAACAACACAATAAAGCACAAAGTAGAAAAGATCAGTCCGCACGATCCTGAGAAAAATTCACTCTTGACATGTTCGCAACATTCATCGTGTCGTGCACAAACTTTGATAAGTTGTCCTCCCTGGTAAGTTGCAGAGTGATTGGAATATTCTCACGCTCACATCGCTGAAAACAAGCAAAAGAGTGCAGCTCACGGTATGAGGACAAAACCACATGCCGTCTCGCCTTCTCATGATAGTAGCGAACACACAACGTGCTGTCATCCAGCCGCATTTGGTAACGATCATAAAACTGTGAACAGCAATGCTCCTTCAGTTGGGCCACTGTCATGCCGGGCTTGACGCACAGCTTCGTCTGGACACTCCACCCATCCGAGTTGTTGTAGTGAACAGCAACGATGAATGGCGGGGTCTGTGCTTGACTCGCCGGGTCAGACGAACAAATCTCCACGGGATAATTCGGGCTGCCCATATTGCTGCCTCCGTCGGTATTTGGGTTCCCACGCCGCATCGGCACAAGTGGTTGTGGCGGGTACGGAAATCGAGAAGGGCTTTTGCTGCTGCTATCGGAGATTTCAGTCTGCGTTGGCGTCATAAGAGGTGTGGCTCTCGCCGTTTTTTCTAAATTCTCTGAGGATGCCACAACACGCAAAGGCGTACGCAGAGCAGAAATCTGAACAGATTGTCGCCGCCGTCTTCGCAAAGGACGAGGGTTGCTGCTGACGTTTGACATCCCTGTGGCGTCATCGGCGTATGATTCGTCCCCAGATTCCGCATCTTCTGATGATTCATTCGTTTGACAATAGCGACTCACCTTCGTCGTCTGCCGGGCATTCTTCAAGGCGCTAGCCTCAATACAAAACACGGCCTCATTCAGTCTCCCCTGCAACTCCTGCAGTCTTTTCTGGAGCGCAATGTTCTCTGCAAGAAGGGCCTGTTCCCTTTTTTGACTCGTTCGCAGCGCCTCCTTTACGCGTTGCCTCCACAGTACACTCTGGGCCTCCATCTCCGCTAGCTTCTCTTGCCACTCGGCACTGTTGCCTTGGCTGTTACAATCTACCGCCTGCTCCGCAGCAGAACTCTCCCTCGTCACGGACGACGCGGCACAGACGTCGTTGCATGACTCAACAGTCGAACCATCAGCAACAGTCGTGGAAGTGGCAGCGGCAGTAGTGTGCGTTGCAGCGCTCGTGTCCGTCCCTATGCCTGACTTCAGTGTCTGTATCTCGGCCTCACGCCGCTGCAGCTTGCGGCGAAGGACAACAACTTTCTCCGCAAGCTGCACCGCCACTTCGCTCCGTACAACTTCCTCCTCGCAAATTTCATCGGCCGGCATCCGGGAGTACTTATTCAAAGAAACGCAATGACGCAGCTCGACGGGGCGCAGTGCGTCGCCAAATGCGGATGACGCAACGGCCGCATCCGGTTGGTTACAGTCTTTGCCGTTGCCACCATTCATTATTCTCGTGGCGCCGTGATTGTGAGAACACAAAAGAGAAGTTATGTGTTTGTGCTGCGGAACAGAACCCCCCACTCGCCACAAGACGCAAAGTGTACGATATGAACCCCGTCTGCAATAAGCAAAAAACACAAGCGAGGAGGAGGGCTAAAAGAAAAAAAAAAAAAAAAGAGAGAAGCCGCATTGTGTGCCACCCGTTATCGGCAATAAAAAGTGGTGGGAAGGACAAATTACACAAAAGGACAAATTACAGAAAGGAAAAAACAGAAAGGAAGTAATAATAATAATAATTTATAAAAGGTCCATTCACACCTCTCCCTTCATCGTCCATTTAAAGCCTTCGTTTTCTTCATTCTCAAAAACTCTCTTCTCCTTTTTTTTCCCCCTTTTCCCTCTCAGGTTTTAGTCCGAATTAAACGCCGATTTTGCCTTCTGCAAGCCCCCTCGTATTTGCGGTAGCAGCACCGATCGCAGCTGGGCGTAGTCTGCGGCGTCACCCATGTAATCTTGCGCCGCCTCAATGACGGCCGTCGTGTTGTTCCGCGTGTCGTCCAACGCCGAAATCACGGCCTCCTGCACATCATCCCTGCCACCCAAAGTGTTAGAAGCTGAAATCGCGTCGTCAAGTGCGGCAAGCACGTCGGTTGTCATGTCACAAAGACACTCACAGGTACGGGCAAAACGAGCCTCATCCCGCTCCCACTGGTCCTTCTGCTGGCAGCAGCGCAACTCCTTCAATCGCATCTCGTACGCCCTCAGGGGGCCATCCATGTAACGAAGTAACTTCGCTCCACAGGCGTAAATGTCCGGGTCTGTCACAAAAAGATCGGTGATTCGCTTAAAAGTCTCCCGCATGCGTTGCTTGTACCGCTCCACGATACCTTCCCGCACCCCCTCCGCCTCCTTCACGGAGGCCGCCCTCCTGCCAGACTCCAAAAATGCCTCGGGCATCTCGACATCACCAGCAATGGGAACGATATCACACATGTTTTGCTCTTCTTCATCCTCCATGAGACTGGCGAACAAATGCGACTCTTCCACCCCCTCCATTTGATCCTTGGAGCTGGCGGGAATACGGCCCTCCATGTACGCAATGGCATTATCCACAAAGCGGTGAAGCGATTCCCGTTCCAATTGTGTGTTTCTTTTCGCTATTTCCAGTAAAACATTCAACGCATTTGTTGTCTCGGTCACCTCCTTCAGCTCACAACCAATAGAGAAATAATTCTGCCACATGCGCCAGTCACGGCGATTATTGCGCAACGCCTGGCTCATGGCATTAAACGCAGGCCGAAGTCTCCCATCACGCAGAAGCACTGACGCAAGATTATTCCACGCGTACGCATCATTTGGTTGAATTTGACAAACACGCGTAAAGGCTTCCCCACTGCGACCCCACTGTTCAAGCCGCATTGCCGCGTACCCGAGAGAAAACCAGTCGCCGCCAAACACAGGATTCAACCGCACGGCCTCATCAAAGTACTCCACCACTTTGCTATACTCCTCTCGCTCGAGTGCCAGCTTCGCCAAGGCACGCATAGGGGCTGCGGATCGGTGATTA